TTTATTCACGTTTATAGTCCTATTTAATATGTGACAAGAAATTGTCAAACAATAAGAAATCAGATGTTGAGAGAAACTGCAAAGACACGATACACAGATACACTTTTCAGTCGCACTGAAAAAGTATGCCTAAATAATGTTTAAATGTAATGACAATAACAAACAGCTGTAATTAAAAAAAGATTGCTCATTGTGCAGATGTTGCCTTCAGAATGGAGAGCGAGCCTGTACCAGAGTCTGCAGTGCCAAAATTAGCTGTTACAGAAATGTTTAAATTTTTATATATATAATTATTTCACACATTGCAGCTCCAAAGTATAGTACTGTATATTTGTTCCACTTCAGTCTTCTCAACATGAGTTGCTGTGCCCTGCCCCATACTTTCAATGGATATCATTTTATTCTTTACAAACATTCTTTAGCCTCTTTAGTCCTGTTTAACAAGATACGTAGCCAAGCCAACCCAACCCCCTTGGATTCAGGAAAATAATCTAGCAGCTATATTCACAACGTCTATGAATAGGCATGTATGTAAATCCCAATTCAAGTTGGAATTTAAAATGGAAAACATTTATGTGCCTACTTGCGTTATTTGGACTTAATTAGTTGTTAGATGAATCCATAAAAATAGTCGATAGATTAATTATTTACAAAATAATCGTTAGTGGCATCCCTATACTGTAGTAAATTGAGGAGTTTTCTAATGCTTTTTAGAGGAGCCATTTTTAAGGTTGCAGGTTTAGTTTCTCCAGCAGTGAAATGAGATATCCAAATGAGTATTCCTTTCAGAAGAATGGAGATGCACTGTACAGTATGTACTGTGCAGTAATCACAAATCATTATGGTTTTATGGTTGGTATTAAAACTCATCCTATGCTCATAGGCAATGAGTTGAGTATTTTTACTAGATTGGGATCTTGCAAATATAATTAATTACAGTTTAAAGAAAAATGAGCAGTTGGAACTTAAAGACAACCAAGAGCAGTAACTATCCAGTACATTAGTGAGTCAGAGTTCACAATTTTTTTGTTTCCTGGACGCTCATATTTATGTCATGATGGATTTACACCTTACACCTTAAGTGTCCTATAGAAAATATATATATATAATTCAGATATCTCACTAGAAATCAAGTTCTTCTTTCCCTCGTGGATGAACTGGTAACAATTAAAAGCCATCAGAGCAATCCCTCTTTAGATATGACTATTTGAAAATTGTTTCTGACAAATTAAAAATAAAGGCAGCACTGTGGCACAATGGTTAGCTGCCTCACAGTGCTGGGGCCCTTGTTTCGGTTCTAGACCCGGGGTGTTGTCTGCATGGAGTTTGAATGTTCTCTCCGTGTTCACTTGGGTTTCCTCTGGATGCTTTAGTTTCCTCCCACAATCCAAAGACATACTGGTAGGACTGGTAAATGGCTTCTGGGAAAACTGGCCCAGAGAAACAGCAGAAAAGGATGGGACTTAAATGCAATGAATGTTAGTTGGTGCTTAATAACAGCCAGTATGTTCCATATATTTTATATTAAATGCATATTTCATTGTTACTTTAAATACATGGCCTAATTTCTGGTATGTATGAAGCTATGACATACACCTAATAATCGATAGAGGCAAGAACATCAGATAAACAATATTCATTGATTATTTCTGTCTGGTAATATGGGGCTCTTGAATATAAATGCTGTGCATATATATGATCCCCTCCATTTTGTTGTCTGGTACTGCCTGATCAATAAAGGTCTTATAAATAATAAGGTAATGTGCTCTGACTCACATCTCAATTGCATCTTGTTCTGAAGCGTTTTTTAATGCAATTGATGGCTATCCCTGTGGTCTCCTCTTGCAGTCATGCTAACCATAATTATAGGTAATCAGGCCTGTCTAGCATTTTTATACATGACCCTGAGCATGCCCTGCTGGAATGTTATTTGTTTATTTCATGAGTCACCCCTATGTGGATGCCCTTGCTCTCAATACACTTGGTGTCCCTCATTCACCAAAGTGTTTCCATTATTTTCTCCACTACCTGCAGTTC